GTGTGTGTGTGTGTGTGTGTGTGTGTGTGTGTGTGTGTGTGTGTGTGTGTTGAGAGAGGTTGAAGAGTGTACGTGCATCTGAATATGTGTTTAGAGTGAGCGAGAGGCACACCGAGTTTTTTTGGTGCACAAATCAAGCTTGTGTACTCGGACGAATGTGTGTGTGTGTGTGTGTGTGTGTGTGTGTGTGTGTGTGTGTGTATGATGGTGGGAAGAGAGGAGTGAGGGTGGCAAGAGGGGGGAGCTCCTGTCACAACTGGGAACATTTAACAAGTCCCCAGACGATTTCAGTTTAATTGATTCAAGACTGCAGCCAGTTCAGCTTCCCGTGTGCAATCAAAAATTGAAAAAAATAAAAAATAAAAATGTGGCTTAATTCTTTTACAGGTTCCCCGAAGCAATTATGAGGAGTAGGTGGCCACAACGTGCCACTGAACATCACACCAGAGGCAGATGCCCCACTTACACCCCATTAATCCTGCTCACACCTGACTCCCTGCATCAGCATCCGCATGTCCTTGTTTTGTTTTTTTAAAACATCCAACCAACTGAGGGATACAGACAGAGCTCTGATTTAAAGGAGGTAAACAACAGCCACTCACCCCTCCTCTAAAGCCAGCTCTGCACAGCATGAAGCAGGAGGAGGAGGAGAGGGTGAAGGAGGCAGAGAGGAGTTGCTCTAATTCCTTGATATATGTGTGTGTGTGTGTGTGTGTGTGTGTGTGTGTGTGTGTGTGTGTGTGGTTGCGTGCTCAGCCTTCCTAAAAGCAGAGCTGCTCCCCCTCTCGCCTCCCTTTTTTTTTTAACTGAGTGAAGGAACCCTGCAACATCCTCCAGGGACTGTGCGGGTGCCTCCACCCTGCACCCAGACCTGCTGCTCTTCCACGCAACCTAGCCCGTCACACAACTTCATATCATATATAATGCGTGGCGACAAATCTGTGTGTGTGTGTGTGTGTGTGTGTGTGTGTGTGTGTGTGTTCCTGCTTTCAAATTCGCCTGCAAGTTACAACTCACATTCCTCTCTACGCCGCCGCAAATGGCCCCTTATTTTGTCGCAATTACGCGCAAAAATGAATAAATAACCACACTTGGACACTCTCCAAGTGCCCGCTTTCACACTTGATTCCCACCGGGGGCGCGTTCACGTTCACGGTATTTTTTTTGCAGAGCTACAACGCGGCCAAGTTTACCCGGATCATTTCCTCTCCCTGCGTGCACTAACTACGCGTTTGGCTTCAAACGGGTTATTTGCGTTCGTTGCACTGCGCGCGCGCACACACACGCACGCACGCAAACACCTATTTTTCTTGACCCGCATGCACCGCTTCCGACACCGTGGAAGCGCCCCTGCTGCTGTGACTGACAAGCCCGCTGCAAAAAAGTGCGTACGGAGCCCTGCTGCTAGCCTAGCACTGACATAGCACTTGCATCAGCAGCAGCAGCAGCAAAGTGGACTTCAGTAGTCCTGCAACACTCCCACTTTCCGTTATTTTCATCCCGCACATTATTACAGAATGTTTCTGTTTACCTTGATCGCAGACAGCTTCGGATGCAGAGACGTCCACGGTCCTGCACGGCGGGCGATTCCCAGAGATTAGGAGATCATTGGGAGCCTAGCACATGTAGTTTTATGGAGGAGGGTTCAGCAGTTCAGTTTGCCCACTCGGTGCCCTGGCAGCCCCGACTCCGGCTTCCACGTTTGGGTGACAGGACCGTCCCTTCCCCTCCCCTTCCCTCCTCCGCGCAGTCTGCGTTGACAGCGCGTCGGCTCTGCAAAGACCGGCCGCCGAGTCCAAATCCGAAATAAAAAATCCAAAAGTGGCAGCCAGACAGAGTTGCAGCCTTTTTTTTCTACAAGTCGTCAACAACAACAACAACACCAACAAACAGCGTGTGGTTGTGGTGCTGGTGCTGGTGTCCGCCGCTGGTCCTGCTGCTGTTCACGGTATAGCAGCCTGCGAGGTGCGCACAACATACCGCTCACAGGAAAGCATGTCGCATTTTGCAGAAAAAAAAGCAGTCCAAACGTGGTGTCCAAAAAAAAGAATCCGACGATGTTTTCCTCTCCGGTGCCAGCGGTACGCGAGGAAACGGGGAAGGGGGGGGGAGACAGAGAAGCAAGAGGAGGAGGGTTGATCAAATAAAAAAAGAAAAAAGAAAAAGGATGCTTTATTTCCAAACGATGAGTCAGAAAAAATCGCGAGCCAGTTTACGCAACGTCCCTCCTTCCAAAATAAAACGCGGAGCTCTCCCCCCGGTCTTCACTTGCCGCCGTGCCTCGCCTCCACTCCTCTAACCCGGTGGACGTGCACGCACGGCTCTTCGCACTAAAATGCACAGGCGGGTTTCGTCTTTCAACCTCTCCCCACACCCCCGAGGAAGAAGAAAGAACACACCCCAAAAAAAGACATCACGGGGGATGAAAGAAAAAATCAGCTCTTATCATCAGCTTGAAAACTCTTTTGGCGCCATATTTATGGCGTACTTTCAATTCTCTGTTACCGCAAACTGCACTTCCTACTCTGAGAAATGCTAGATTACTGCGCCTCGGAGAGGAGAGGATAGGGACTGAACCCTCACCTGACTCACTCACTCCGTCAGCAGAACAGGCTCACATTTAAGGAGGGGGGGTGGAAATGGGACATAAAAAATAAAAAAAACAGATGCATCCGTGGTTTAAATAACTAGTTTATGAAAACAATTAAGGTTTATTTGTTAATGGAGGACTCCGTCATGCGATGAACAGTGCATCTGCTTTCAAATGTATATGTTTTAAATTGATTTAGTTTGAATATATGTGCCCCTGAAGGAAGAGTAAATTGCACAAATAAAATTCAATGAATTTGAGAAATATCTGCATATTATACGTTTTTTTAAAAGGTCTCCAAAAAAATTATGTCACCTTAAAATCGCCTAAAAATGGCTTCATGTTAACTTAAACATCAGGTGTACTCATTGTAAAAATATGAATGCTGTATTATACTGTGACATATCCATAGACTGCAGGGAATATCACTGTACACACCTGTGTTGTATTAATAGTTAGATCTCAACCACAATCCATCCACCTACTTTTTATTCATTGTCACCTTCACCGATGACTGCTGTCCAAATAATTTGCAGCCGGTGCCCGAAGTTTAAAGCGAAGGCCTGTAGTTGCACTTTACTGTAAGTGATAATATCTCTCCACCAGTGATTGATTTTTGCTCCTCGCAGTGATCCAAAAGGGAATAGTTGGCAAGTAAATTACCTTCCTTCACATTTTCTCTAAAATCTATATTTAAAAAGGGGAGGAGGGTGTTTGATCAATGCGTAATCTACCATCCACTGTCTCTAAATCACTGTCCTCTGCCCGTTATCTCAACTTCGCTCTGCTTTTATTTTTCTGCATCTAAAATGTCTGAGTCAATGAACTAATGGGACGATTCGACTTGTATCAAACACACAGGCCTGCGTGCAAGGATGTCAGGATGCTTCAAATGCTCCTATCAGCTGTATCAGGTGTCACTCGGAAAGTGAGGAGGGAGGAGGAGAGGGGGGGGGGGGGGGGGGGGGGGGGGGTTTGTGAAGCTGTTTTGCACAAAGTGAAATGAGGCGGTGAAGGACACAGAGGAGGAGATTTCTCTGGCACACATTCAAATGCAACACCAGCATCCCACAGTTTGTCCTCCTCCTCCTCCTCCTCCTCCTCCTCCTCCACACAGCGCAGGTGGGGAGCGTCCCCCGAGGAAACAGCCCGTGACCCTCGTCATGGTCGTTTTCTAATGGGAGGTAATGCAATTTACTGTCTGATGAGATGCACACAATGTTTATTTAGGAAGCAGATCAGCCAGATGTGGGTCAAATTAGTAGTTGCAGCATTTTTGTTTTTGAGTTTACAGCTGCAGAGCATTTCTAATTGTTATTGATACATGGTTAAAGGTGCTACGTGTATTTTGAGAAAATTTGTTTAGTATTTATTGAGTCTTTTTTTACATACTTTATTTCGTAGTTTTATATTATTTATTATTAGTTTCTTAGTATTAAGTATTGGCAACTAATGAGTCCTTATTTATAAGAAAACCACATCACAGGATTAAAAAGGAGCTACAGACTCTGAAATCACTGGGTGAGGGTGAGTTGAAGGAGATAGGATTTATTGCGAGGTTGCAAACATGTTAACGGAATATCTTTGAATAATTTAATCTTGACTTTCAGAAAAACCTTGGATGGATTTAGTTTTACAAAAGAGGAATAACCTCCTGCTCCTTAACCCTTCTGGTGAATTGCTTTTTGTCTTTCTGTACAAACAACAAACAGTAAATAAATAAATTCTCATCTACATGGAAATATCCCAAAATCTCGGCAGTGTTGTTCCACCAAGGAGTCCATGTGGCTCAAACCTCCCTCTACAAGAGTAGAAGTATGAAGAAGCACAAAATGTAAATACTGTCAATCTGATCTGGCAACACTGTTGTGCGCACTGCAGTAAAACAACTCCACACAGTGCATGAGCAGTACACTGTAGTGAGACGTTGAAAGGACATAAATGTGCTCTCAACCCAACAATTATCTGCTAGAGTCTCTATTCACACATGTGTAGTTGCATTATTAAGTTTTGAGCCACGTGTTCTTAAATTCTGCGACTTGACAGGACACCTTTTCAGAAGCGCTCCGTCATTTATACTGTCGTATAAAATGATCAGAATCAGTTGTGCTGATGGCCTTGACTGTTACCTTGCTCTTCTCTGGCTGCTTACAGCGATGCGTCGCCTTGTAGCTTCAGACTGTAATGATACGGATGTTCTCTGCTGAGTAAATCTCTAAAAACACACTTTCAAAAATGTAATGCGATTCAATAAAACAGCTCAGACATAAATTCTACCTGTACAGAGAAAACACTGTTCTTTATGGATTGATAGGATCACAGAGGTGTTCATCTGACTATATATGTATTACTAAGTTTATGGTTGTACTGGGTGGTGTATGCATTGTACTGGGTGGTGTTTCTAATGTTGTGACCACTCTTGTTGTTATTTTGGCTCGTCTGCAAAATAACTGGACTTTATTAAAGAAGCAGCAAAGGTTTACTTACACCTCTGCTTTTTCTTCTGTGACATGTCAGAATGTCTAAAGGTGTATTTGTGCGTGATACCACGCTGCCACAGCTGTTTGTTGTGTAGTTTTGATTGTGTAGATAGTTATGGACCATATATGTTTTTGTGGTATTATTCAAACAACTAAAGAATTGCACTGCATATGGATGTGAGTTACCTCAGTGTCATGCACCGTACCATCACACTAACATGACTTTCCAAAGCTTCATCTGCTCCGCATTTTTTGATTTAAAGACAGCAGCAAAAGCACAAAGAAGACCAAAACTAAATCTGTGATTCCCTGCACGATTAATTCCCTTCATCGTCTTGGGATTTTAGAATCTATTTGGTTTGAAGTTCTCCAGTCAAGCTAATTAGTTCCAAACATTTTCGTCTTTTTCGTCTTTCGCTATTCACGGGACATAAACTCTTGTCAGTGTAACTTGCTGGTGATATTAATCACAATCACTCGCCCAGTACCACAACGACCACCGCTAACAACACACACACGCACAGCATCGGCCAACATTACGCTATTTTTCCATGACATAGGTTGCATTTGATTTCCATAACCACACATTCCAGGAAATAAGATCAACATGTGAACACAGAGATGACAGTATTCATCTAGAGGCAGCTGTGTGGCGGTGTTGCAGTGGAGATTCGTGCACTGTATCATGGCCCCAATATCCATGTCAACTTCAATTAGGCCAATAGACGGGTAGATATCCTAATCTTTTTAAACAATAGGTCAGGATTCAGGACCTGAAATAGCTGGCAGGCCCGACTGCTCCAGCATTCCTACATGTCACTAGTTTTAATTAGCCTGGGTCCCAGGGTGACGGGCTACTTTTATCACTTGGGTCCCAAACCTAAAAAATGTTTGGAGCACCCCTCCTCTACGGGAGGCTTAATTCAATGCAATGTCAAGTGCAGCCTAATTCTGAGTCCCGCAGCAAACTGCAACGCATTTTCCAAAAAGTTTCAGAGACGTTTGTCCCGCTTTGTCTCGTGTTTTTGTTGTTCCAAATGTTTTTGTTTTCTCCTCAGTCTCAAGGTGACTTTACCTCTGACATACTAATGCTCATAATAAAATAGCTGTAGGGTTTAATCAAAATCTAACTTTAGGATTTACATAGACGTTAATCATCAGGCTTGTACAGCTGTGACATTGCAACCAAAGATTTGTATTTGTTATTTAGCAATTTTCCAGTGATTAGCCTTCTATACCTGGTGAAATGGTTTAAACCAAGAGGGGTCAAACCAATGGCCCGAGGGCCAGAACTGGTCCGCCACAGGGTTCAATCCGGATGATTGCAGAAAATAATTCAGCGCCACTATCAGACTCATCACGGCGAAAAATAAAAGAACTTGAAAAGAAAAGTGAGAACAGAGACACTCAAATAAATTGTTGAGAGACAGCGAGAAGTCTCAGGCTGTTCATCATCTGTTTTGTTGATGGATTGTTCATTACATTTGTATTGTTCAAAATTCAATTAATGTTCATTTCATGTGTGTTTTCATAATGTACACTAAAAGCAGTACAAGTACATCAGGAAGTGTTGTTATTTATGGTTATGCAATGGGTGTGTTGGCCTGTATGAAGACGTTTATGGGAAAAAAAGAAAAACAGAAAAGAAAACTAAACACATTAGAAACAAGATGTCTTCATCCTTTACATTAGATTAGACATTAGACTGATTGCACATGTGATCTCCTCGTGAGTATTTCTGATGTTTTTTTCTGTTAAACTTGAGGTCTAGCTCAGCTCATTTCATTTAGCCTACATTCAAAAATGATCAAAATGATCATCTGCCATGAGAGTGGGTGCCAACAGGAAATAACATAAACAGGAAGAATAGAAAGTACAGAACAGGAAGTATTATGTCATGATGTTTTTTTAAACCGTGATAAGACCATCTCAATATGTCTCAGAGGCATAGTTCCACCTTGAGGTTTGGTTAAGTTTAGGCGCAAAGACAACTTGATTTGGTTTAGGGAGATATCATGGTCTGGGTTAAAATAATTACAGAGGTAAAGCAGCATTTGAAAACCTACCTTGGACACCAAGTAAGGCTTCTTAAATCACACTCCATTCAAACGCAAAAACAAGAGGTTATGTATTCAAGCAATCGGCTTGAAGTCGTTGTATAAGACATGTCATACAAGCTGTCTCCAAGCTGTCTACCTGCTTAGTAGCAGCTAAGTAGAGGTACTCAGCAGTGTGTGTACTAGTTCAGTTAGCTGATAGCCAAACACGCTGGTGGATCAGCGATGCACTTAGCTGTGTCATCACTAGCGGCCCTTACGGTTGGGGGCCGGTTAAGAGTAGTGAGTGAAGAGAATAAGCAATAAAAGGCGTTTTGGTGACAGTGTGAGTCACCGAAACCACGGGAAGTCCTTGAGCATGCAGCCATAACCGGCCACCCAAAATATTATGCAGTTTGCTGCAGCAGAATGCGAGATAAGCCGCGGACAGACAAGGAGGTGCACGCTCACTCACGGAGACACGTGTGCACTAACTCTGAGTTTGTAACTAATTGTGGGAAAATAAAGGAATTTAAGCAAGAGTTAAAGCATGACATTGAATAAAATTGCCTCGTCATAGTTAACTGTTCGTCAGTCTGAGTCAGCTTCTGAAGGAGTTCATTCAAAGTTGACTCTGTGCTCTCTGCCATATCCTGATTTACACGTCTCATTATCTTCGACACCCCTGAACAGGTTCACAATGATCTATAACAACTTTCTTTCTCTCCTGTTCAGTTCTCCTCGCCGTAACACTCATCTCCACACAGACACTTTACAGAGTGGGTAATTCTTTTCTTTTGGCTGGCCCTCCCCCAGGACTCCGGCTGAAAGGGCTACCTGTTGTCTGTGTGTTTCCCAATTATAGTTTTCTCCTGAGTAAGCATACATTAGGTGACTCATCAAGAACGGCTGTCTGCCAAAGACCGGCTGGAACGCAGTGTATTATTTCAGCATCAGTGTGTATTTCAGGCAGAGTGAGAAGGGGAGAGCGAGGCCATAAACCTAATGGGTTGGTTCACTCAATAAAGCGGCGACTTGTATGACTTGGAAGCAGCCCAAAATACAACATACTGTCACCGCTGGGTTTTCTGCGGGAGGGAATTTGAGAAGAGGTGAAAGTGGGTTTTTATGACTTCTTGTCTTTCTAGGACTGACTCGGAAAACAAATGTCTGAGGAGAGGACACTATAGGGGCCTCATTTCTTACAGACACTGGTTAAGAGCTGGCATTTAGTGTTAAGGTTAGGGGTTCACTTGTGTACATGTTTTTTATGTACCATCTTTAATCCTTAATGTTTTTTGTGTAAATGTGATATGCCAGGCTGGACACACCATGTGTAGTTCTTCTTTTCCCGTTGTTACATATCCGTCTTCCACTGGTAACCCCGTGTTTAACGTCACATTGCTATGAATTGTGGGTAATTCCCTTAGGCAAAGTCTGCAGAAATGCAGACTTACGGAAAGGGTTCATAAAGGGCTCAACATGTCTGAGAGAGAGCCCTCAAACACTCGAACATTTGACAGTTGGACATCCGTAAACCCTCAAGGATTTTGCAGTAACGAGACCTCAAAGTCCCTGACTGTGGCGGTTGGGATTGGGCCATCGTGCAGGTGTTTTGCGCATGCACACAGGTCCAGTGTGCAGAGGGAAGGTTCAGACAGAGTCATGTTTCCTGTGTTAACTGAGTTTGTTCATGTCTCTCCTCGTCTCTGTGGAAAACACTTGATCCAGAGCATCGGGAGAGCTCGGCCTGTTGGGGAGACGTTTTGTAACCACTTGCAGTAAACTGAACATGTGGGAGAAGTTTAAGAGTGGAATAAAAACCAACAGCATTTCTCAACAAAGTTATATTTCTGAATAAAGCCTACAGAAACACTCATTGTTATAGTTTGACTGACACATCGTAATGGGCTTTTTGGCAAATGCAAATATGCAAATGTCCTTTTATTGGCTCTCATGAATGTTCTCGATCTTCACTTGAACCCGTCAGAAAGAAACTCGTGTCTGGATCTGCACCGACATTATTTCATCTCTGCGTGTTCGACTGTTGTTACAACCTGCTGAGTTTTCACTGTTCCTTTACAACTGCTGGGAAACTGATTTCAAGTGTTGCTTTTCCTCTTGGGGGGGGCATTTTTTTGGGGGAGGCGGGTGTGCTGTGGTTATATGGGATGCACAGCAGCCACTTGGTTTCCAAGGCACTCAATTTCAGGTGTTCCTCAAGAGATTTTATGAAAAGTCACACTGTTTACAAACCTCAATTTTCTCTTTTAAACCAAAATGTGTTGCCATAATACATCTGATATGCAGGAGATTACGCTGTGTGTGTGTGTGTGTCCATTCTAATAATTTGCATATCTTTTTAAGAATACAGCCATTTTAACAATGAAAAGCAAATGTATAATTTTTGCTTTTTTAATCAGGATCATCTTCTCAAACAGGTGCATGTGGAAACTTTTCTTTGGGGTCATTTTAATTTGACATTCTGCCGGTTTGCAATAAAAAAAAAAAAATTTTAATAGACCCTCTCCTCTTGATTAAATATCACAGAAGCCAAGCCCTATATTGTATTCCTCCAAATGGTTTTTGGCTGTTACAACGACATGATTTACAGTTAAATCAGATTTTACTGTGGAAACAAAACCAGCGACTGCTCTGTCTGTCTGTCTGTCTTCATGTTGGCTTGCCTTCCTCTGGAATCCCTCTGCATATCAATGACTTCATGTCAAAACAAGCCCCAAATCCCCCTCTGCTGTGTGTGTGTGTATGTGTGTGCGTGCATGTGTGTGTGTGTGCATATCTGTCAGCCTCAATGACCATAAGCCTCTTTACATAGGCTGGAGGTTAAAAGTCCAGTATTTCTTCTCTGATCATATTCCTGGCAGGCTGGTCAAGTGCAAAGAGAGAGAGAGAGAGAGAGAGAGAGAGAGAGAGAGAGAGAGAGAG